CACACAAGCCCAGTACACGCATATATACTTGCACATATGAATGTACATTAAAACATACAGTATACAGAACACAGACACGTGCTTTTTAAGAGACTCTACTGAAAAACATACTGTACAAACTTCCTGTTCTGAAGCCTGTATTTAACTATTTACTATTGTCTCAAAAACAGTATTCATCACTACACCCTGCCACTGCTTTCAGCGTTAGCATCAAACCCTTCTTCGTTACAAGCAGTGGAGCACCCCCCGTGCCGTCCGGCAGGGCCTCGTTCGCCTACGTTACACGCAGCGGTGTGTGACCCCAAACTCCCAATTCACCCCCTCCCCGCCTTCACCCTTTGGTAACCAGGTTTCTTTCCTGTGTCCGCGAATCTCCTCCTGTTTTGTAAATCAGTTCATCTGCATGGCTTTTCAGATCCCACATGGAAATGACACCATGTGACAGTCACCTTCCTCCATCTGGATTCACTTTTTAAAACCCCTCCTCAGTTACGCGGGGGAACGCTAGTGTACTAGGTAACAGCCCTGTCACTGGCCACGGGGCAGTTTCCAGTCTGCCTGTTCAAACCAGCACAGCCACACGACCCCAGGTTCTGTCTACAAGGCTCCCAGACCACGGGGCAACCCCACGGGGCCCAGGCCTGTGCTCCAGGGGCTCCCAGGCCCGCGGAACATGGACACGGGACAGGCCAGGCACCTCTGGAGTCTTCACCCTGCAGGATGCAGACCAGACCCTCTTGGGGTGGTGCCCCCACGGCAAGGTTCCCAGGACCCGGGCCACGTGGGCATCTTGTGTGGGGTGAGGGGTCAGCACGCTGACGGGAGGGGAGGGGAGTAGTAACGCATGTGGGACCCGGGTTTGCTGGGGCAAAGCCGTCACATCAGCCCAGCACGCAGGGACAGGGTGGGCTCACCCCCTCAGCCCAGGAAGAGGCTCGAGGGCCATGAAGAGGCCACCCCCTAGTTGTGAGGAGATGGATGGATGAGCCCTGAGCCTTTGGGAGCATCTGCTCTGAGGCCCTGGGCGCTGCGCCGGGGAACTCACCACCTTCACGCCAGGCTCCACGCCCACCGCGGGGGCCCTCTGCTGGGTGACTGGCTCCGGGACCCTCACACCCCCAGCCAGCCCTCCCTTCCTTCCTCGAGAGGATCTGAGCCGCATCACGGTCTGCTGGCCCCCAGGTGCCACCGTGTCCCCCCGTGTCCCTCTCCTACTGCTCCCAGTAAACCCCTCACACATCTAACTCCACCTTCTTGGAGGACCCAGACATGGGACACAGAAAACCCAATGGCCGACACGTAAACCACCAGAGTCAGTAGACAACTGCTAGGACAATTCAGCAGGACTTCCGGACACCGAGTCAATACACAGAAATCAACTGCATTTCTGTGTATCAGTAACAGGCAGAACTGTCTCACGGAAAATGCTATCTGCAAAGAGGCCCCTGCGAGTAAATCTAACCAAAGGTTCCCATCGTGGAGAAGCGTACAGGATTTTGAAAGATATTAAGAAAGATCTAATTGACACAACACTGCAAACTGACTACACTTCAAAAGATTTTTAAAAAAGAAAGATCTACATAAACACGGAGAGATACACTATGTTCACAGACTGGAAGAATCAATGTTGTAAATATGTCCTCTGTTCTCCACACTGATTTATCGATACAGTGCAATCCTGGTCGAAACACTGTTTTTTTTCAGTGGAGGACAGGGGACTGGATTCTAAAATAGCTATGAAGGAAAAAAGCTTAGAAATAACCAGGGAATTCTTGAAGGAGAGTCAGCAGTTTGAGCACCCCCCTTAGAAGATGCCAGCAGCTACCACGAAAGCGCAGAAACTGAGAGCCTCGTGCTGCCGCGAGAAGAGGCCATCTGACCAACGGGACAAAACCATGAACATTTAGACTGACTTCATGACAGAGGCGGTATTTCAATTATTCTTTTTTTTTTGAGCATTTCTTCTTTTACAGTTTCACATATTTATTCATTTATTGGGGGGGTAATTAGTTACTTGTTTATTTTGGTGGAGGTGCTGGGGACTGAACCCAGGACCTCGTGCACGCGAGGCATGCTCTCGACCACTGCGCTGTACCTTCTGCCCCGAGGCAGTACTTCAGACCAGACTTTCCTATCATTGGTGCTTGGGAACTGGGTATATTTATGAACAATAAATAAAACTGCACTCCTACCTCACACCATATATAAAAATCCATTCCAGGTAAATTAAAAATAAAATGTGAGAGACAAAACTATCAAGTTTTTAGAATAAAATATTAGTCTATTTTCCATGATTTCAATGTTGGGGAGTGTTTCTTAACCAAAACATGTTTGCTAACCATGACTTCTTTATAAACCATAAAGATCGGCAGATAATAAGCACAGGGAACGTTCATACACCGGGGGAAGGGATGTACCCTGACAATTCAGCACAGCAGCTTGGTACTACGTAGTGAAGCTGAACATAACGCTGTGACCGGGCAGCTCCACCCCTGGTATTTACTTGAGAAAAACTCTGGCACACGTACCCCAAGAAAAACGGTAAAGAATGTTTACAGCAGCAACATTTATAACAACTAAAATTTGCAAATGACCCGTTCATTAACAATAAGATGGCTAAATAAATCGTGGTATGATCAAAAACTGGAATAGTACATAGCAATGAGCAAGCGTCAGAGACAACCGGAGGGCCAGCCGCAGCGTCACACTTCAATGGCAGGTATCACCGTGAGCCCTCGCGTAAAATGCTGAACCAAAGCTTCCACCAGATATCTATTACTGTTAAGGATGCAAACGGGTGTAAAATTATAAAGAAAACAAGGGAGTGACTGCCACAAAGACCAGGGTGACGCACCTGCACAGAGAGGGCAGGGAACAGAATCAGGAAGGGACAAGGGGGCTCCCAGGTTACTGGAAACGCTCCACATTTTAAACACGGGGTTAGGAATATGGCTTCTGGCCTTGTAATTAATCTGTAAGTTCTACGAGTCTTAAATACATGCAGAAATTAATTATATGGAAAAAGTCCTGGTAGCCAAAAGCTGGTTCTTTCAAAGAACTGATGAAACGGACAAACCGTCACGCCAGTGAAATGGCTCCTGTCACAGTCATCTTTGTGCCCAGGGCAGCGATCAATTCTGCCAGAATCGAACCCTGCGGTTCAGCAGCATCCAAGAGTCGCCCACGGCTTTCTCACAACACTGTTCTCTCGGCTCCCGTGACCCCGGCGCCCGTTCAGCCTCCAAGTGTCGGGAGCAGCCGGGGCTGCGTCCTGGGTGCCCTGCTCTGCGTTTCCGGGGCACGTTCTCCAAGTCCCACGCCCTCATTGCCGCGTACACACGGACGGCCCCACACTTGCATCTCCAGCCCTGGCCTCTCCTCAGAACCCCGACTCATAAGCCCAGGGACTCAGGTAGCGTCTCCGACACCCTGTCTTCAGATCCGAGCCACCTTGGCTTCCCAGGACGACCGGCTCCACTCAACTCAGGGAACGCCCTCGCTCCGCCCCGGATCCTCTCCCTGCACCGCCCGCTGCCAACGCGCTCCAGGGAGCAGCCCGGGGCGACCGTCGGGCTCGCCCAGGTTCCTCTGACCCAGCTGTCACGGTCCTCCTGCCAGGTGTGCACGGTCTTGAGACCCACTGCTACATGCTGTCTGGTTTCTAGGAGTTCTGGTGTTTCTATCAGACGGGAAAATAAATCTAATCTCTCTGCCTCCTTCTTAGCCACACGCGGAAGTCCTCTCTCTAAAAATTATACAGTGAATGTTAATAATAGGACGTCATAAAAGCTGTTTGACCAAAATGCTCTCCTCCCAACAAGGGATATCTTCAAGCCACTGTACCCTTCTGTCCCCTCCCCTCTGCAGGACACACTCCCACGGGGATGGGAGAGTCACCACTGTGAATCCTGCTGATGACAGGTCCCAGGGAGGAAGGGCCGGCCCTCTCCCTCAGTCAGGCCCATTAACACAGCAGGAGAGGAGGGAGTGTGTCCTTCCCCCGCCCAAGGACAGCCTTCAGTCTTCACGCAGTACCAGGGCCTCCTGGGCGGGGAAGGGCATCCTCAGTGACAGGAAAGCCAGGCGGGGCCGCTGGAGCTGCCAGGGCAGCAGGCCTTAGCCTCCAGCACCCTCCCTGAGGGCTTGCCAGCCAGAGCCTGCGCACACAGGGTCCCCAGTCTTCACGACGACCTGGAAGGTTAGAATGGTCTTCTTCTGGGTGAAACGGTGACCCTCCCAGGGCAGTGCCGGGCTGCCTGCCTCCTGAGACGGCCCACCCCACCTACCCCAGTGTGCAGCCCCCACCCATCAGAGCCGTTGCTGACTCTGGGTGGTGAGGCCCTGCCCCGTGACAGGCTGACCATCGTGTGATGTCTCCAGTGGGCCTGGACTGAGTTCTCCCAAGGCCTTGTCTGCCCGCCACCCCCGCTGCCCTGATGCATCGTGGTCTGCACTCCACCTTCCAGCCCCCAGTCCGTTCTGAGCGAGACCCGCCACCTGGCCCTGCAGGGCCTCTCACAAGCTCCTCTGCACCCCGCGAGTCCGTCCCCAAATCAGAGCGGCATCTTCTAGAGTGGCTTCTGCTGAGGGTTCATCTCTGGAGAGACACTTCAAATAAAATGGGCAGTCTCTCTTGGAGACACACAACGCACCGTCACTTCTGGGAAGCTGTGCAGCAGAGAAACTGCCTCTGGTTTCTGACTCTGTGAACTTTCACACTGAAGTAAAGGCACGTCCAAGCGAGGCCTGATCCTCACCGTGGCCTCACTGCACCGCCAGGACCCCTGACGCCAAAGGGAGCAGGAAACCGAAAGGCCGCACGAGCAGTGAGGGGCGTTCCCGTCGGTTCTGCACTGAGAGGCACGCATGGTCTAACTACCTGGCTTCGTGGATTAAATCTTTCACACACTGAAGCACGTTGTCCAAGTCTGCCAAGCCCGGCCCCCAGACCCAGTGAGTGAACTGTGTCTCTTCTTGAATGATTCAAGAAAGAACCAATATGTCTGAAAGATAATTGCTTTTAATTTTCTAAGTTTCACTTACGCAACATAATAAAGGCAGATCTATGTGACGTGATATGACATTTTTACAAAAAATGTCCCCGACATCTGGTCAGTAGTATATAAATATTTACAATGAAAAAATAGGCGAGGAAAAAGGAAATCTTCATTATTCAAGTCAACTTCTGTCCAATGCTCATCATAACTGTGAAAATAAAATACTTCATTAACTTCCCCGTCACCCATATTTACAAGCTGCTTCAGCCGATGGTCTAAGAAGCCCAGGCTCAAGGGTGTTCTGCTCTGCGTCTCTCCTGCTCTTTTCCTACTATTTTCCAAGTTATCTGGAAGAGTAAATTCAACGTGAAAATGCAAACTGTGAAGGACGAGGAAACAGAACAAGCACGTGTAGATGCGCGGAGACAGACAGGCCCCTACAGAGGCCGGCGCTCTGCACCAGAAGCCAGGACAAAAGGCTCCACGCAGCTCCTTAGCAGGGACACTCCGCTTCAGTCTAATCTGATTACGTTAACAAAATCCGCCTCTAAAGAGGATTTTAAAAAAACAGCAACGACATTACCATCCTAACTGATGAGTATCCGTCACCTTAATTTTCTCTAAAAGAAACTGATCTTTTTAAAAAGTGACAAATATAAATTATATAGTGGAGAGCTTGAGAAGCCTCAACAAAGTGTGGTGTCTTTCAAATACGAAGACTTTAGAAAATAAATTCGAATAGTGCAAGCCAGCCTACGTGAGTCAGTGATGTGACGAACACTCATCCCCAACGTGTGAGAGCGCAGCTACACTCCCGCGGCCGGTGCGCGCGGGGCCTCACGTGTGGGGGCTGCGCCGCCCTCTGGCGCCCAGGGACACGCGGAGCCGGGGCTCCCGGGCCCGGTAGTGCTCGTTGAAGTCCAGCCTGAAGCTGAGGAAGCGCAGACTCTCGTCCGAGCTGGTGGTCAGCAACACCAGGAACTGCTGCACGATGCCCTGCAAGGAAGCAAAGGAGCCGGCACTATCCCGGGGCTCGGGGGGGCCGGCCGTGGGGCGCCCCGCCTCTCCCTGCGTTAGGGAGGCGCCCCAGGACCAGAGCCGCCCGGAGGCCCAGGTTCGCCAGCCACGGCACATCCACAGACGCAAATTCAGTCACTTCACTGAAAAGAACCAACAGACAGATTTTTCCTCTCTGCCCTTAAGTTCCACAAGAATAAGCAAAACAGCGAAGTTTTAACTGCGAGCAGGAAGCATCCGTGTTACACGTTTCACCTTTCACATGAGTCGCCAGCGAGCTGTGAAGCCCTGACTTGAGAACAGAAGAAACAGACGCCTCGGGGCCCGATCGATGCCTCTAGGGGGCCCGGCCCCGAGGCGGGGCAGGGTGCCACCCTATCACTCCTCGCGAGGGGCCCCGTACAGATGGCGGGGCAGGACGGCAAACTAACACGACAGAAGCCCCAGCTGCTTCTCTTTGGGGTTGAAAGGCCACCCGGCGAGGACAAACTCCACCTCGTCTCACGGCAGGCGGGCCTCCACCTGTCCAGGTCGGGGCTGCTGCTCCCCTGTGTGGGCCTCCACCTGCCCAGGCTGGGGCTGCTCATCCCCTGCTTTCAGGCTCAGAAGAGTTCCCATCCACGGAGAAAAGTCACCGACTCCCACACCCTCGCCCGCCCTCCCCAAACTCTGACCGCTGCCGCTGTCCTGCTGACCCGTGCCCCTGGGGAGGTGGTAAGCCTGCAGACTCGTGAGCGCACAAACATTCTCGGCTGCTGGTCACTTCCCTGCAGCTTCAGCAGCAGCACGGAACTCACCTTCAGGCATCCGTTAGTAAGAAATATGATCACGTATGACATGTACAACCTGGCCACACAGTATATCTCACCATCAAAACACTCATCCAATAAAGGTATTTCTGCACCGAACATAAGCCAGTCATTACCATCATTTACGAAAATGTTTCAACAAAAATGTACCAGGAGACCAATGCCAGGGTGAGGCCACTCCCAAAAGGGACAAAGTCAACCCTCAGTGACACTAAAGGAAAACTTAAAATTACAAAGTATGAGGCTCCTAGGAGGCAAACTAGACGCCCAGGAACAGGGTCTGATGTTTCACTCAGAATTCTGAACGGAAGACAACTCCAGCACAAACAGAATTTCTAGAGGCTGGGGCCAGTGACGCCTGACATGTCCAGTCAGTTATCAGCAAGTGACTGGAAGAATCTTCGTAACACCTTTCCTCTATATTTTCATCACCAAAATCAGGCTGAGAAACAGATGAAATCAGAAACCAAACCATCAAAAAGAAAAGAAAAGCAGAGCACATGGGCCCTACGGGTCACAGCCCGAGCCCGGCCACCCCACCCCCGCGTGTCTGCAGGGCTCGGTTCGACACGGCACGACCCGCATGCAGCTGCCCCCAACCCCGCCCCCACACCCGCCGGCAGTGAGACCACAGGCCTGGGTCAGGGGTGCAGCCGGACCGGCCCCGCTCTCGTCTGCACGAGATGCGCCACCCGGACTGAGGCGGTTCCTGCCGTCACTGTGGCATCGAGTGGCAACCCGGGAGCCAGGCCACGGAGACTGGACGGCCTTTGTGCCTCGAATACGCACCTGGTAGAAGTGTGTCAGGATCCGCAGCTGGGAGCACATCTTTGGAATGGATTCCTGGAACTCCCGCGTCCTCTGGGCCTCCTGCTCCTCCTCGGCTGCGGTCACGCCCCACTGTCCCTGTGGACGCGAGGAAGCAAGCGAGTTAACCCTGGGTGGGCGCGGTGCGGGCATCAGGAGCCACACACAGGGTCTCAGGCCCCCTGCACGCCCAGAACCTGCTAGGACAGTTTCCAGCACCCAGGTGTCCTGGAGCTCACTGCTGTCAACTAACAGTGCACCCCGGAAACATTTCACGTCCACACGCATGAGTGCCCTCAGAGCTCCCTCGCTGCTGCCAGTGACGCTTACAGTTCACAGCGTGACACGCTGCGACCTCTCCCAACCTAGACGACACGTCACAACCTCGTCAGCTCCAAAGGCACCAGCCAGCAGGCGCGTCTGATGGGTCCCCAGTCTGCGTGGTGCGTGGACTCCCGGGCCGGGCAGCCCATCAGCGCGCGCACGGAGTGAGCACCACACTGTGACCCGCCCCAGTCAACCACCCTCTAACACAGATTTTAAGGAAATACTCAAAACGAAACTAATCAAACTGCACTAACTGAAAACCGTCACCACCCGAGCAGCAGCATCTGGAAAAAGGGAAAGGCTACAGATTCCCGCGAGGAGTCACACTGGCTCAACAGCTCTTCGTGCCTCAGGGTCACGAAGGGCATCAAACACTCAGTAAAGTCACTGAAAACAGCCAGAGAGAGGAGTCGGGTCCCCAGGTGCACAAGCGCAGCCACCAGCGCCAGGTAGCAGAGCACTCGGGCGTCAGGGGCCGCGGGCCAGACACCGACCAGACGGACGTCGGGACACACACGGAGGAGAACCTGTGTCTCTCGTGAACCCGTCTTCTTCTATTTTTACAGTGTGATGACGATGGGGCTGCTGACCCCCGAGCGCAGGCCACCTCACTTAGAACCCTGACCGCATGTGGATGTGACCACAGCCCCAGCTGCAGGCATCACTGTGGCGCAGGCCACACCCTAAATGGACATAGCCGCGGACCCCGAGCCGTACCTCGACCTCCCGCTGTTTCTTCCTCTCCTCAAACTGCAGGCGTCTCTGCAGCTCCTCCAGGGCAGCCCTGTATATGGCATCCTGCGTGCTCTGCAGCTCAATGATCTGATCAAACACGGCTCTGAGCTGGTTTAAAAGTGCCTGAGGAGAGAAGACAAGTTTTTTCTCCTTATGGAATACAGTCCCATCCTGCTCAGGACTAAGTTTTTCCAATAAAATACGGACATTTAGTAAAAGGAAACCATTACACAAGGTACCAGCGCACCTCCACAAGGTGCTCTTTGTCCGTTCATTCGCCATCAGACACTTCCAGGACCCTGGACGCTAAGCCTGTCCCCACAGCAGCAGCGGGCGGCTGACCCCAAGCTTCCACAGCCCCACAACTCGGTGCTGCCCCGGCTCGGAAGGAGCACAGGCAGCTGCGTCCACGGGTCAGCCCCCCCACCGGGGCCAGGGGAGCAGGGGCCCCCCCGGGGCCGGGGAGCAGGATGACCCTTTCACGGCCGGTGCCGCGCACCAGCACCACACCCAGGCATCGTGAGAGAGGAAATTCTTTAAAAACATACGAAACAAATGCAGCAAGGATTTTGGAAACAGGCGTCACGGTTCCTACCAGGAGTGAAAGGGCGGTTTAAGCCGTCACTTCCTGGGAGAAAGCCTGGAACCCAAAGTGCGGCAGGACGTCCAACTCTCCGCATGGACAATGAGCACAGGGCCTGTCTGTCCCGTTCCCCTTGCTCCCTCCCCGAGAAAGGGACAGACGAGGCCGCCCGGGCACAGACACGACAGAGGTCAGACGACAGCCACGCGCAGCGCCACGCGCGCACCCCAGGCCGTCCAGCGAGCGTCAGGCAGCGGTGGGGAAGGGCGGGGGCTGGGAGGCCACACTGGACCCAACGTGTCAGACTGAAGCGCAGGAGTAACTCTGTCCTCTGCCAGCTCAGATTTTTTTTTAATCTATTAATTTTCGGTGGGGAGGGGAAGAGTTTAAATAGAGCAGGAAAAAATCATGTGTTAAAATTTAACACCCACTCGTGGTTAACAAAACATTCAAACAAAGGACGATGAGAGGGGACCGCCTTAATTTAACGGAAGTTCCATCAGATGCCCCAGCAAACATGAGTCAGTGGGAAACAGCAAAACCTCTCCAGTGTCTGGAGTAAGACGAGAGTCCCACCTGTGCTCCCAGGCAACCCAGCGACACACCAGGGCAAGAAGCTGCGGAAGGCAGACTTCGTGGGAAGAAACAGAAAGAGCAAGCAGAGCTAAAAGAGTCGGAAATTTAAAAGACAAACAAATCAAAGTGATTAACGACATTCCCACAGACCAGCCAAAATCCACCCATGAAGTGATAATCTCACAAAAGATCTGCATGATGTTTACAAACGACTTAATTTTGCTGAGAAGCGGAGCGTGGACACAGACGGCAGGGACCCCGCGCTCAGGGAGCACACGGGGCTGCTCAGGGAGAAGCTGAGCCCTGGGCTCTCCCTGCAGGGAGCAGCGCCGGTCAGTGAGGACGTCTGCAGGGCTGCCGTCCCCCTCACCCGAGGGGCGCGCTCCACCTGCCGCCATGTGTCCCCTCGAAGGGACCCTAGCACTAGGTTCAAACCCCATTTACTAGGTTGGAGCAGCACCTCGAAGGCTGAGCTAACATCTGACTCTCAAGTGAAACAAAACTGAAATCAGTATTTCCTAACGACTTCCAGAATGCAAGAGAACGTGGACACCGCAAGACGAAGCATTCACATTCTTTCATCCACGACGGTGCACTTGTGACTCCACCACCAGGGACCTGCTGCGCACCACGCCCCACCCGCACACCTAGCACGCTCCACCCACCCCGGAGCACCCCACGCTTCCACACACTGCACACCCCGCGCACCGCAGCTCCTCACTGGTCACCGCCATGCTCCGCTGGGAGCGGCTGCCCGTTCGGCCGCAGGGTCTCGGTCACAACAAAAAACCTCAACAAAATATGTACACTTTACACCAGAAATCAACCACACACAGCAAACTGACTACTTCAATTAAAAGAAAAGGGGGGGACAGTCTATTTTTCAATAAGCATTTATCTCCTCTAACTTGTTTCTTTATTGTAGTCAAACAACCACGCACTCCTTCGGAGCAGTGACTCCCTCCACGGGAGAGACCTGCGGTCTCCTTCATGCTGAGGCGGTGCTCTGCTCAGACCCAGAACTGCGGACGCGCCTGCCGTGGGGACGTCAACTTGCAGCAACTGACTGTGTGACTCAGGGTTTCTCTCAGTGATGCATGAGCTCCCCACTGGCCACAAGCAGAGAGTGGGTATCACTTGCCATCGCAAATCTCCCTCCAAAACACACACACACAAAGGTGACTTTTAATTGTTTAAAAACAATAGCAACTGACTCGTGCCGGGCGCTAAGGCAAACGGTTCACAGGAAACGAAACTCACAAGTCTAGGCAGAGAGGGGCAGCGTGCTCTTCCACCACACGAGAGCACTGGGGGCAGAGGCTGGGCAGCGGGACTGAGCCCAACGTCCACCTGCCTGCAGGGCCCGCGCGGTCTGGCGGGACAAGGACGCACAGGGCAGGAAGGCCTGGGGCCTGTCTGTGGGTCCCCAACACCCACCTACACATCCTGGACACACGTGTCAACAGGCAGGCGGCTCACAGGATCCATAAGTGTCTGTGGTCTCAGCCATCACGGACGAGCCTGAGTGACACGGCGGAAAGCCTCAAGATGCACGCTGCTAAAACTCCCCATTACTTTCCAAGTGCTTAGAATCACCCCTGTGTCCGTTCCAGTGTCTCTATGAAAACATTGTCTAGACATAGTGCTGACCCGAAGCATCTCTCCAGACACACAGACGACCAATAATCCTCTAATAGTGAAACCTGGCACATCTAGGTACCCGCCTTCCCAGCCACGCCCGCCAACCAGACACTCACTCACTAGGCAAACATCCAAGCAGAGCATCTCCACCAGGGGCCCCGGAGGGGTGAGGGCCACTCAGGGCAGCCCTCTGCAAGCCGGAACCTTCCCCGAAGTCACACATCTAACGTCAAAATGCACTTGGAATTTTGCCTCCTGCTTCACAACACATGGTCTCAGGTGACAGGAAGTGTCCCGGGTCCCCCAGATCTCTGAATGAACTCCACACTCCAGGAAGCCCCGCCCAGGGGATGCCGGCCCCTCAGAACAGCCCGTGGGAAGGAGGGCAGTGAGAAAGCAGGGTCTGCCTGGACACGCGGTGGGTGTGCTGACTGTGCGGCCAGGACCACCACACAGGCGGACAGGCTGGGTGGGAGGACCAGCAGGCCCCTCCTCACACCCCTGCGGCCACACCCAGCCCGTCAGCGGCCCCTGGGAGGGGGTGGGCATCTCCACAGCTGGGCCGTCTCACACCCACATCACAGCACGATCCGGTCCCAGCACAACTCTCCCCACCTCGTCCAGAAACCTAAGACCAACAAGACCATCCTGATGGCCACGAATGGGGCTGCATCAGGGGCCTGCTGGGGCCTCCACTGCCGGGAACCCAGGGAGAGAGGTTCTGACGGCCTGTGTTGGGCGGGAGGCAGCACGGCTCACCCTGGAGTCAGCGTCCAGCAGGCAGCGGGAGATGATGGTGTCCAGGAACACCTCGTGTGCGGCGATGATGTGGTCCAAGTCCTGCGCCCGCTGCACTTTGTTCCAGAGCTCGTCCCAAGAGCACTCCAGCACCTGGGGACAGCACGGGACAGGAAGAAGCTCACATCACCAGGCCCCACGTCTCACAGACACCCCAGGAGAGCCAGGACAGGACGCCTCTCAGCCAAGACCAGAGGCGGCTCGCAGTACCTCGAACGTGATGTAGTACTGCATCTGATGGATGAAGTGGACCATCTCGGATGCCAGGATGTGGCAGTGGTGGAGCACCCCGGAGAACTCTGCAAGACACGAGAAGCCTCGTCAGGCACCTCTGCAGAGGTAGCCAGCACGGTGCCCCGCTAGTCACCTGTATCTGCCTTCCAGAGAGGCTGGGGGGGATCTCCCTGCATGTCCCCACAGCACCGGCCCTTCCCCACACGAACACACTCGCACATCCTCAGCGCATGTCCACGTGTCCGTCTGGCCTGCCAGGCAATGCTCCTCTTGACCACAGGGACCTTCCTGTTGCAGCCTCCACGGAGACCGACGCCAGGCAGCAGAGCAGCCCGCACCCCTACTCATGAGTGATGATGTCCACCCTCACATTACAGCGGGCGGTCTGCATTCACCTAGGTCTAGACCATTTAAAGTCACATCCCTTCCAAAAGGTTTCCAAGACCAAGGCACATTTGGCAACAAGGCTAAAATATGTATTCTTTCCTTTCTAGTCTGCAAGTAGCACCAGATACATTTTCATTCTAGAAATCTCGTCTTTTCTGGGCCTAGCAGGAGGATCTTTAACAGCACCCGCCACAGTGGAGCCTCTGGGAGTGGGGAGCCAGCCGGCCGACAGGGGACCTGGTGAACTCATCCCCAGGCACAGCCCGAGATCCCCAGGGCACCGCGGCTCCCCTCCCCCAACCCCGAGATAAAACCCCACACACTCAGGGCTTCCGAGCTCCCCCGCCTGGCAGGGCTCTAACCACGTGCACCCCGTCACACGGAGGCTGAGTGCACAGGTCTCATCCGGTCCTTTAATTCCTAGCAAACACACCTTACCCCGAAACACTCTTCCAGTCTCTCTACCCAGGACCTTGAGAATGTATCTGAGACGTATTCAACACACAAGTCCTCGTGTTTCATGGCTGACCCCCAAATAACTAGGCAATTCTAAAACTCCCCAGAGTGAAGCAGCTTTTGCCTTGTGGTCAACAGTACATGCACACAGCGCGCCTTCCGCCACGCTAACTCAGCAGCAGACGGCTTCACACACAGGACGGGTCGACCACCGCTCCCGGGGCCCGGAGGCTGAGCGCTGGCGCCACCTCTGGTTCTCTACCGCCCTCTCAAGGCAGCAGCGAGGACTTCCGGCTCAGGGCTGAAGGCCACCACGGCCCCCGCAGCTCGTACAGGCCCGGCCCCGGGGTGCAGGCACCTTTAGCCAGAAGCTTCTGCCCACCTGGAAGCACATCGCAAATGGCCTTGAGTATTGTTTAAAATGACCAAAGGGTCTTTTTTTAAAAATACCCTAAAAGTTTATCCCCAGTTTCAAAATCACCTTCTTCAGCTTGTATCTACTGCTGCTGCTGCTGTTCTGAAGCGACTTCACCAAATTACGGGCCTGACCCCTTTCTCCAGGCTCCAGAGTCGAGCGCGCTGGGAGACCCCGGTCTCCTCACACCTCCCGGGTTCAGGATGTCTAACCAGCGCCCAGTGCCACGTCCACCGGCAGCGGTGAGGACCGCACAGTGGCGCCCGCCCACACACACACAGCCTGGTCCTGACCACCCGCCTCACCTCCTCCACGTTCCATCTTATTTCCTGCAAGGACCAGAAGGGGATTACTTCCGCACCACTCCTCTGGGGGTGGGGGGGACCACTACGCACCCCCCCGACGGCCTGA